GTCTTCTGCCAAAGAGAAATTTTCCTTTAAAGAATTTCTTTGCAATCTATTAAGACATTCAATTCAGAATTATTTTCAGTTGTACCTTAATAATTTAATAATCTGCTTAATTTAAGAGGTATTCATTCCCAACAATGTTATATATTTTCACCATCTTCCAATATTGAATCTCGAACTGAATCTTTCTTTGTATTTCTATAATGAAATCCAGGCACCTGCCACCCTCCTTCTTTGGTCGAACTCTTAGTGGAGTTTTGAACACAGGAAGATTAAACTTATCAGCTTTCTTCTGCTATAAAAATGGAGGCAGTCATCTTTTTTATAGGAATGCTGGTGCGTAAGTAGAAATATTTGATAACCTTAGAACTTGCGTGTAGTTTTTGAAAACTATAAATTGTGTACTTTTTTGTTCTTTTGATATTTACCAATTTCTGCACACAATAGATAGAACAACTTCCTTAGCCTGGAAATCAATACAGTTGTTTTCCACTAGTCTCCATGTTAGAATCTACAACCTGGTTTTAGCCAGCTGAAATTCTTTCCACATACTCTGCACTTGTTCTCATGTCTCTTGTTAGTACCTCTGCTTTGAATGCCTTTCCCATACCTTATCTTGCTGAAATTCTATTTATTCACTTTAAAAGCTACAGCTCAGCAATATGAATTGAATGGTTACATTAGGTGTGTTCTAGTGCTTGAGATGTATCAGTAAACAAAGCAAAGAGCTCTGCCTTCGTGAAGCTTATATTCTGCTTGGTCCCCAAGCAGAATTTATTACTTCAATAGCAATTTGTTTATACCTCTATCAGAACATTACAATTAATTTGTATAAGTCTCTTTCCCAATTAGACCAGTGGTTTTCAACACTGCCTGTTCAACAGAATCACCTGGGAATCTTTGGGAAAACAACTATACCCTGGTCCCATCTCCAGAGATTTTGATTTATTTGGTTTGGGGAGAGGCCCACATGATCCTACTGTGCAGCCAGTGTTAAGAACCACTGCAACAGACCACACTATGAAATTTTTGAGGGTTATGGTTATGCTACTCATTTGGTATTGCCTTACACCTAACAGGTAGTAAGCAGTCAAAAAGTATTGAGTGTGGTAGTAAGAAAAATGGTACTGGCTCTTCCTTTACTGAGCTACTAAGACATTGAGATGTATAGTCTCTATGGGGCCTTTAAGAAATTGGGTTCATTTCAGGTAATTATTAAGACTTATAATCAATAAAAATTAACAGACAGTATCCAGAGAAACTGTGGAAAGCATTTCATAGAGAAACTTGAGAGAAAACTTGAAGGTTTAAAAAGGAAAGGTAAGGAATGAATTATAAATTAGGAGAAACTGAAGAGGAGAATTATGAAAGAGAAGTAGTTAAAAAAAACACCCTTATATTTATTAAATACTCTATAACTTTAATGTATTTGGAGACCAGTGTTCTGCTTGATTCTCACAATGATGATGAGTCAGGACAAATATCATTCCCACTTTTCAGATGGTGAATCTGAGTGGAGGTAGATGAGTTTGGGTGACTGGTCCAAGGTTATATACCAGTGTTGCTGATTGCAAGTTCATGTGCCCATGGCACAGTGAGGCCAAACAAACCAAAACATTGGAGTTTGGAGCAGAGGAAGGTTTATTGCAGGGCCAAGCAAGGAGAATGGGTGGCTCAGGCTGAAAAACCCAAACTCCTCGATGGTTTTTAATTTTAAAATTTTTTTTAATTTTTAAAATTTTTTATTTTTAACATCTTTATTGGAGTATAATTGCTTTACAATGGTGTGTTAGTTTCTGCTTTATAACAAAGTGAATCAGTTATACATATACATATGTTCCCATATCTCTTCCCTCTTGCATCTCCCTCCCTCCCACCCTCCCTATCCCACCCCTCTAGTTGGTCACAAACCACCTAGCTGATCTCCCTGTGCTATGCGGCTGCTTCCCACTAGCTATCTATTTTACGTTTGGTAGTGTATATATGTCCATGCCACTCTCTCACTTTGTCACAGCTTACCCTTCCCCCTTCCCATATCCTCAAGTCCATGCTCTGTGTCTTTATTCCCGTCTTACCCCTAGGTACTTCGTGACCTTTTTTTTTTTTCTTAGATTCCATATATATGTGTTAGCATATGGTATTTGTTTTTCTCTTTCTGACTTACTTCACTCTGTATGACAGACTCTAGGTCCATCCGCCTCACTACAAATAACTCAATTTCGTTTCTTTTTATGCCTGAGTAATATTCCATTGTATATATATGCCACATCTTCTTTATCCATTCATCTGTTGATGAACACTTAGGTTGCTTCCATGTCCTGGCTATTGTAAATAGAACTGCAATGAACATTTTGGTACATGACTCTTTTTGAATTATGGTTTTCTCAGGGTATATGCCCAGTAGTGGGATTGCTGGGTTCTATGGTAGTTCTTTTTAAGGAGCCTCCATCCTGTTCTCCATAGTGGCTGTATCAATTTACATTGCCACCAACAGTGCAAGAGGGTTCCCTTTTCTCCACACCCTCTCCAGCATTTATTGTTTGTCGATTTTTTGATGATGTCCATTCTGACCGGTGTGAGATGATATCTCATTGTAGTTTTGATTTGCATTTCTCTAATGATTAATGATGTTGAGCATTCTTTCATGTGTTTGTTGGCAATCTGTATATCTTCTTTGGAGAAATGTCTATTTAGGTCTTCTGCCCATTTTTGGATTGGGTTTGTTTTTTTGTTATTGAGCTGCATGAGCTGCTTGTAAATTTTGGAGATTAATCCTTTGTCAGTTGCTTAATTTGCAAATATTTTCTCCCATTCTGAGGGTTGTCTTTTGGTCTTGTTTATGGTTTCCGTTGCTGTGCAAAAGCTTTGAAATTTCATTAGGTCCCATTGTTTATTTCTGTTTTTATTTCCATTTCTCTAGGAGGTGGGTCAAAAAGGATCTTGCTGTGATTTATGTCAGAGCATTCTGCCTATGTTTTCCTCTAAGAGTTTGGTAGTGTCTGGCCTTACATTTAGGTCTTTAATCCATATTTAGTTTATTTTTGTGTATGGTGTTAGAGAGTGTTCTAATTTCATACTTTTACATGTACCTCCTTTATGGTTTTTGAGGCAGTTTTTAAATTTATTTTTTATTTTTAAAAATTTTTTGGCTGTGTTGGGTCTTCATTGCTGTGTGCGGGCTTTCTCTAGTTGTGGTGAGCGCCGGCTTCTCATTGCGATGGCTCCTCTTTGTTGCGGAGCATGGGCTCTCGGTGCGTGAGCTTCAGTAGTTGTGGCTCACAGGCTTAGTTGTTCTGCAGCATGTGGGCTCTTCCTGGATCAGGGCTTGAACCCATGTCCCCTGCGTTGGCAGGCGGATTCTTAACCACTGCGCCCCCAGGGAAGTCCCCAAGGCGGAGTTTTTATAGGCAAAATTTGGGGTGAGGGCTGCAGGTTGTGTGACTCTCTTCTCATTGCCTGGTGGTGAGGTAACAGGGCGGTGCTCCAGGGATCTTGCGCTCAGCCTGAAGTCACCATCCTGCACCTGGGTGGGGGCCATACAGAAGAACTTAAGATATTGTTATGTATATCCCTTGAGGAGGAACCAGGATCCTGCTTTAGTAGCTGCCGTCTGGTTTCTTGACTGCCTTTCCTTTGTTTCTGCATTTCCTCGCTCCCCTAATTAGTAACTGAATCTGCCCTTTGGAACACAAGGAAGGTCTCAGAGGCTGAAGCCTTTTCCCTACAAACTAGAAACAGGGGACGTGGAAAGGCTTTGTACCCAGGAGGGACCCACAGGGTCCCGCTCAGTTTCAGTTCTCCTAAGAACGTTTAAACAAGTCTGTTAAAAGCAAGATCCTGGAGTGCTGCTTGGGCTGATGAAACTAGGAATAAAATCCCAGAATGGCATTGTGTGTGCCCCACCAAACAGTGCTGCTGTTCCCTCTCCCTGCAATGTTTAACCCCACCTCCCCACCCCTTCAACCTTGGCCCCTTGACCTTCTGGCTTAAGCCTTAGCCCAGCCTCTTCTGTGATGACATCACTGACCCCTTCCGGGGCCCCTGAGTGCTCTTTCCCAGGCCCCCAATGGACGAAGATGCCAGTTTAAAAAGATTGCATCACAGCAATTGTCCCTCACGTCTCCTCACAAGGTGGCGTTTCCTCCAGGCAGTGGCTAATAGGTGCTCAATAAATGCTCGTGAAAGGAATTTGTTATTGCTTGTGGGATATTGGGGTTTTATAATAAAGATTACATGGTAATTTGGGAGAAAACCATAATTATGTCTAGACTGTGAAGTAATGTGCAACCCTGCCATGGTTTTAAGTTCTTGGGACACTTGTTATCCTGAAAGATGTAAAGGATTGTAATCCATTTCCATGAGTCTATGACAGGAAAACTGGCAGCTCTGGGAAAGGAAGCACATATTTCTACTATTCATCTGTCACAGAAGGAACACGTTGTTCCTAAATGCCAGGTGGAGTTAGTGGTGGTGTTGAAAATGCAGAAGGTGTTAGGGATGGCATCAAATCACAAGAGGCACAATAAGAAGAATGGTTAAAACACATACTTTTAACCAGTCTTCAGGTTAACCAGTCTTCAGGAAGTCAGGACTTCCCTGGTGGCGCAGTGGTTAAGAATCCGTCTGCCAATGCAGGGGACACGGGTTTGAGCCCTGGTCTGGGAAGATCCCACATGCTGCAGAGCAACTAAGCCTGTGTGCCACAACTACTGAGCCTGTGCTCTAGAGCCCACGCACCACAACTACTGAAGCCTGCTGTGCCGCAACTACTGAAGCCTGCACGCCTTGAGCCCGTGCTCTGCAACAAGAGAAGCACTGCGATGAGAAGCCCACGCACCGTAACGAAGAGTAGACCCCACTCGCCGCAACTAGAGGAAGCCTGCGCGCAGCAACGAAGACCCAACGCAGCCAAAGGTAAATTAATAAATAAATAAATTTATAAAAACAAAAACAAACAGAAAACCACATACGTCTAAACAGCCACTAGGTGGCAGCCTAGAACTATGACATTATGGAGAGAACCCTGAAAGACCAGTTGCTTGGAATACGGCCAGAGTGGAGAAGAGAAAGCAGGCATATTGGGCAATTTGAACCAGAAAGGGAGAAAGACCATGATTTGTAGTACTTACTGCACACACCTTTATAATTTTGTTTTTCCTAGAAAAAAGGACAGGCACACGCGTATACACTCACACACAGCAAATTCTCATCACATATACACTTAACTTGTGTCACTCTCAAGAAGCACCACAGCGAGTCTGAGGTGTTTCAAGCATGAGTTGGCTGTTTCTTAAGGGGGGGGGCCTCACCTTCTCTGTACCCCGTATGTAGGGTTTATAGACTATTCAAGCACTCCCTGAGGGTTATTTTATTTTATTTGGTTTTCGCCTGATATATTTACTTTTGAACCTAATCCTCTTAATAAATTTTACTCTACTCTGCTTATAAAAATATACACAAATATAAATTTATATATGTTCTATATAACATATATATTATGAAAACATAAAACATACTGATAAGTCAGGCAACCAGTGCTTTCCAGCATGCCTTGAATACAGTAGGTGCTCAATATATGTTTGCTGAACTGAACTGAAGGGAAACAGAGATAAAATGTCCAGGAAAAGGAAGGGGCAGACTTAGCAGTGGAGCTGCTAGATTCAACACAGTGTAGACAGTCATAGTGTAGAGGGTCGTGCACTATTCCACACGGTGCAGAGGGTCCTAGAGGGACGCAGTGTAGACGTGCAGAAGGCAACAAGGGGGAAGAGAATGCCTACTTTGCTTCCTTTTCTCAGAGTAAACCTGCTGCGTCTAGGGATCTATGAAACTCAGCGTTCACCCCTTAGTTTTGATCCAAACTGTCATCATGTCCACATGTCCTTCTAATGATTTAAACAGCAGTTCCTCTAATACAATTGTGATTCTTTAGGAAAAATAAGAGTATTGTGAAGGTGATTGATAGAAGGCAAAGTTTATGAGGGCAAACATGCTGTTTGAACTCTCATATTTCCAGTTCCTTACACAGAGTAGGTATTTAATAGAAATTGATTATACTCCAACCTGCCCGAAAAGAAGTCCAAAAACTATTCACTGAACCATGTGAATGTAGGGGATTACTGAAGTAGTGGAAATGTTATTTATAGTGAACCATGTGTACACCACTTTAAACATAGCTTTTATGTATCTAACAAATGGAAATCACATGTAGCAAAATCAGACTCACACTAGGCTACAAACTATGGATATAGGGCAAAGGGTACTATATCATCCTGACTTCAAGGAACTTATAACTTAGAGGGAAAATACAATATGTCCATAAAAACATCTCCAACGAAGTATGGCAAAATAAATTCCGTCGAATCTCACAGGAGGGAGAGATCACTTTATTGACATCAAGGAAGAGGAGACTAACATTGACTTGGACTTTGGAAGGTGCATCATACCTAGATCATAATAGGAGGGGCAGAGTGCCAGGAACACACTCAGCAAGATGTGTTTAGGAGAAGGTGAGGAGAGCAGGATGGACAGAGCAGAAGTTCATGGAGGGTGTGGTGGGAGATAAGACAGACTCCGATGGGGCAGAGCGTGAGGAGCCAGGCTTCAAGGGTCTGTTCTTGTGTACCCAGGGACACGCAAGGTCTTTGAGGAGGGTAATGACTGGTAGAGGCTGAACTTTGAAAGATTACGCAGTGAATATTGGTTTGGTTATAATGAGAGATTTAGATGGTGCTTTACTTTGTTTTTTAAAAAAATCATCCAAATACTATAAAATACAATCCGTAGCTACTATGCATATATAAATGTTCAAACATTACAGCCAACAGATTTATCACACAATTACAATTGGATGACAAAATACATTTTTGTATTTGTATTGGGGCCAAGATCAACAGAGTCCAAGCTTTAGTTGATTGAAGTCAGGAGGGTCAGTTACCTTGGGTTCCAGTTGATGTGATGGTTGAGGGCCCAAAGGGGGTTTCAATTCAGCAAAACAGCTCAAGAAAGTGCTTCAGGCTAATCTTTACCCCTGAAACAGAACTGGGAGTCTTTACAACTGCTTTATTTTCTTTGCTATTGTGATTTCTCTTGCCTGATAACAGTTTGTTCTTTTGTTCCCTAAGGTCATTACAAGGACCTGTTCAGGGGTAAGCATTGTGGCCAGGCTGAGATCACAAAATGGCTTAGGCCAAAATGGCTTCTCTTATGTCAAGAAAGCCATGCCTGCTTCTCTTTCTCCAGGGAACCCCCTACCCTATCTGCTTACCAAATGGCTCAGGCGTGAGTATGAGGGAAAGCAGGAGATCCAGAAAACTGGTATCCTGGTTGATGTGCCCTGGGAGAAGGAGGAGCCATTCGCTGTGATGAGCTTGCAGGAGATGTAGTTGCCCTGAGAGGGACAAAGTGAGTTGAGTTCTAGATCTGTTGATTTTGAGAGATGTCCAGTAGAAGCAGGATTTTAAATGTGAATCAAGGATAGGAGGTCAGGGCTTCCCTGGTGGCGCAGTGGTTGACAGTCCGCCTGCCGATGCAGGGGACACGGGTTCGTGCCCCGGTCCGGGAAGATCCCACATGCCGCGGAGCGGCTGGGCCCGTGAGCCATGGCCGCTGAGCCTGCGCGTCCGGAGCCTGTGCTCCGCAACGGGAGAGGCCCGCGTACCACAAAAAAAAAAAAAAAAAAAAAAGGATAGGAGGTCAGTTTCAATATCACGAGAGCAGATTAGATCACCCAGACTAACCTGTAATAGTATTTAATATTTAACATTTATTACACACCTCCTATGTGTTATGCATTAACTTATTTAATTCTCCCAACAAATTATTCAATTGATACTTTTATCCCATTTATATAGAAATGAGAGATTAGCAATAATAATAAGAGAATTTCTACAACCTCTTCCTCACCCCCATCTACCCACCTGCTTCAGGTACTCAGTCTACTCACCTCACATTCTTGGTCTGCTGTGGATGAAGTTCGCCATTTGTGTACCAGGTCTCATCCTTACTCACCTACTAAATGGCATCGTTCCAGCAATTGTCCCCTCTCTCTGTCCATCATAAAATTTTCCCTCTCTACTGGCTCATGCTTAAAGTGTTACGAATGCACTGTTACTTCTGGATCAAATAAAACCCAAACCCAAACTCTCTTGACCCCATTCTTCCTCTAGCTCATGTCCCATTTTTGTTCTACTTCTTACACCTCAAAAGAGTTGTCTGTATTCGTTGTCACTAACTTCTCTATTATATTCTTACTTGTCTTACTCCAGAATGGCTATTATTGCTTCAAGTCTCCCAAAACTGTATGTAACAAGGTGGCCAAAGATAACATTTTGCTAAATCCAATGATGAGCCCTCAGTTCTCATCCTGTTTGACCTACCTGCAGTGTCTGACTCAATTGATCACCCGCTCCATCTTTTTGTCGCTTGCTTTGGAGGCTGCCATGCTCTCTTGGTTCTTCTGTGGCCCTCTCTGGTCACTCCCTCTTAGTTTCTTTTCTTATTCCTCCTTGCGTCCCTGAACTTTTAGTGGGTAGGGCCTCAGGGTCCAGTCCTCGCAGGCTTTCTCTTTTCTATTTTACACCTTAGTGGTCTCATCCAATCTCATGGTGTTAAATACTCTTTGCTGTTAACCCCAAATTTCTGCCTTTAACCTATACCTGCCCTCTAAACTTCCTATTCATAGATCGGTCATCTTCAATTTGATGTCTAAAGGAAAACTCAAGCTTAATTTGTCCAAACTGAACTCCTGCTCTCCCCGTCCCCATACAAGCTTAGTTGTCCTTCAGGTTTTCCACTTTTAGCTAATAGCAACTCTATTGTGCTAGTTGCTCAGCCCCCAAACCTAGACTCATCATTGATTACTCCGTTTCTCCCATATCCCACATCCAGTCCAAATTCTGTTGATCCTACCTTCAAAAGATGTCTAGGAATCCAACCTCTTGGTACCATCCCCACTGCTACTTTCCGGATCTAAGCTGTCATCAGCTTCCCTGTGGATTTTTGCAATAACCTTACAGTCTGCATTTGCTGACCTTTCAGTCTGTTCCCAAGATAGCAGCCAGAATGATTTCCCTAAGACATTCTTGATCTTGTTATCCCCTTGCTCAGAATCATCCAGTGGATGCTTATCACACACAGAGTAGAAGCCAAGTTTTTGGCAAAGCCCTGCAAGCCCTCTCCCTACCACCACACACACACACAGACATCTGGCCATTACCCATTTGACTTCCCTATAGATACTCTCTCCCTCACATACACACTCTAGCCACACTGTCATCCCTGTAGTTCTTTTAACATGTCAGTTATGCCTGCAACTCGGGGTCTTTCATTTGCTGTCCCCTCTGCCTGGAACTTTCTCCTCATAAAAATCCCCGAAGTTTTACTGCCTCACTTCCTTCAGATTATTATTCAAATATCACTTTTTTAGTAAGTCCTTGTGAAACTGCACCTGAGATGGGACTGGAACCCACAATCTTCCAACTGAAACCAAACAACTCATCTCAGGCAAACAACTCATCTCAGGATTTAATGAAGCTCAGGTTCTTTATATCTCGGTACAGAAGGAATTCAGCAAGAGGCAAAGTGATAGGTAAGAAGTAGATTTATTAATATAGGACGCTTGTGAAGGATCCAAGTGGGCAGGCAAGAGGGCTCTGCCCCAAGAATTAAGTGGGCTACATTTTTATAATCAAAGGAAAAGTGGGGAGGGAGAGAAGACCACCTTCCTCCTTTTCCTTTGTAAAGATGTTGCAGGAAAATATGGTGCAAGAGGATGGTTATGTCCCAGGTCTCGGGCGAGTTCCTGGGACGGGCCGCCAATGAGGGTCCTTGGCTTCGCACAGGAAAGAATTCAAGAACGAGCCATAGTAAAGTGAAAGCAGGTTTATTGAGAGAGGCACACATTCCATAGACAGAATGTGGTCTGTCTCAGAAGGTGCGAGTGGCCCTGAATTATGGGGTGGTTAGTTTTTACGGGCTGGGTAATTTCATAGGCTAATAAGTGGGAGGATTATTCCAACTATTTTGAGGAAGAGGTGTGGATTTCCAGGAATACCAGGCCCATTTTCTGGCCTCTTATGGTTGTCCTCAGAGCTGTCATGGCACCTGTGAGTGTGTCGTTTAGCATATGGTAATGTGTTACAATGAGCATATAATGAGGCTCAAGGTCTATTGGAAGTCGAGTCTTCTGCCATCTTGGGCCTAATCTGTTCTAACTAGGATTTGTCGTATCCTCAAGGGCTATGTCATTCTTTTAAAGGTTGTGCCCTGCCCCCTTCCCTCTGTCTTACTTCCCTGAAAATCCTATTGAAAATTGCTACCAATACTCCTTATTCCCTTTCCTAATCATGGTGGATTTTAGTTCCCCAACCAGGGAACTTAGTTCCCCAACCAGGGATCGAACCTGTGTCCCCTGCAGTGGAAGCACGGAGTCTAAACCACTGGACCGCTAGGGAAGTCCCTACGTGTTTATTGAAGGAAGGAAGGAAGGAAGGAAGGGAGGAAGGAATGTAGTGTGGGAGGAGGCCTGGGGCAAGATGAGAATAGAACCCTGGATGTGGTGGAGGAAGAACCTGGGTAGGAACTTTGTCAAGGTGTCACCTGGTTTGGTTCAGTTCAGCAAATATTTGTTGAGTACCTCTTGTGTGCCAGGTATTTTGCTAGCTGCTGGGGCACATAAAAAGAATAAGTTGTGGTAGGGCAATAAGGAAAGGTAAAGGAGATTTCGCTGAGAAGCCTCTCGGTTTCTCCTTTCTCTGGATGTTATATTCCTAACGCACCTTGGCCATGTTCTGTTGTAGCCATGTGATGTAAGTAATTAGTTTCCAGTCTACCATCCCTTTTGGCAGTGGAATCTCAGATGACAGGGCTGTGGCTCAAAATCTGGACCCTTGGTGCCCAGCCCAGTACTTAGCACTTGTAGGTGTATAGCATGTGTTTGATGAATAATTAAACTACAAGGAGATTTTAAAATATTTTAGACAGCTCAGCTATTTGTCTCAGGCTTTCCTAAAAGTCATTTTCTCTTAGTGGTTTCCATGCAAACTTAACAGAAATTGGATTATTATAATAATTTTATCCTTCAGTTCTCCAAAATTTAACCCTGTTTTGGGGATCAGAAATAAATATTAAGTAGTGTTTTAGGTCACATTTGAGATTAATAGAGAGTTGATTTGCAGCCCCAATTTTTCATTGGGAAATGCCACTGTTTGTATAACTGATAACTGATCAGGCCACTTTTGTTTATTCATTTTCTTAAAAGGTGTTGTTTTACAGGGTCTCTAATCCTGAAACTTCATACCCACCACTCACTAAATTCTGTCCTTCTGGTTTCGGAAAGATGTCATCTAACAAGAGATTTTCGCTCCCCAACCACTCATATAAATAATGCCCTCAGTCACTCTGGACCTCCTTGCCTTGAATTGTATGTCTTCAGGGTGCACATCACTCCCTCATGTGGTGCTCTAAGGTCACAGATCTGAGAGCTGTCTTCTCTCCCATGAGAACATAAGCTCCGTGAAGGCAGGACTTCATCTGTTCAGTTCGCTGCATTATCCCACGCACTGAGAATAACACCGGCATAAAATAGGGCAGGAAATCTGTTGATTGGATCGTTATGAGCCATTTAGAGCAGTCAGTGGATTTGTTCTTTTAAAACAGTTGATGCATAGAGAATTCCCCGGAAGTCCAGTGCTTAAGACTTGGTGCTTTCACTGCCGTCTGTGGGTCCAGGTTCGATCCCTGGTCGGGGAACTATGATCCCACAAGCCCCGCGGCAAAGCCCTAAAAAAAAAGGGCTTCCCTGGTGGCGCAGTGGTTAAGAATCCACCTGCCAATGCAGGGGCCACAGGTTCGAGCCCTGGTCTGGGAGGACCCAACATGCCGTGGAGCAACTATGCCTGTGTGCCACAACTACTGAGCTTGTGCTCTAGAGCCTGAGAGCCACAACTACTGAACCCGCGTGCCACAACTACTGAAGCCCACGCGCCTAGAGCCCTTGCTCCAAAACAAGAGAAGCCACCGCAATGAGAAGCTTGTGCACCGCAATGAAGAGTAGCCCCCGCTTTCTGCAACTAGAGAAAGCCTGTGTGCAGCAACGAAGACCCAATGCAGCCAAAAATAAAAAAAACATAGTTGGCATGGCATGTGATATTTTGTAAGATTAAGGTGTATAATGTGTTGATTTGACACATTTATATATTGTAATGTGATTAGCTAACACCTCTATTATGTTACATATTATTTCTTTTTTTGTGGTGGTGGGAGTAATTATGATCCAGTCTCTTAGCAAGTTTGATATTTCTCTCTCTTTTTTTTCCTTGGCCATACCACATGGCATGTGGGATTCCCTACCAGGAATCAAACCTGAGCCCCCTGCACTGGGAGGGTGGAGTCTTACCCACTGGACCACCAGGGAAGTCCCAAGTTTGATGTTTCTAATACAGTTTTGTTTTCTACAATCTCTATATCGTGTATTAGATCTCCAGGACTTATTTGTCTACTGGTTGCAAGAAAGCACATTTTCTTTTTAGAAAGTTTCCAGAAACTGATAAAGGTGGGTTGTGAGAGAGTCATCCTCAGAAGTTTCTAGGGTAGCTAAAGCAATTCAAGTCACTTCACTATGCGGGACTGGTTTTAGGGCCAGTTTGTGAGATATGCTGGTTACTCTTGTCTTGTAGTCCTCAGCCCTGAAATGTCTACTGCAGGTAGTGAATTCCTTAAGCCCACATGTGAGATGACACATTACCATGGTAATTCATTATCTCTCTTTTTCCTCTCTCAGATGAAGATGGAACAGTAGCCTGTATGTCCTGTCTGCTTTGTCTGAAAACAATGATGACTTCATCTGCTGCATCTGTGAGGTGAGGTGTCATTCTTTTGTGTCCCAGGCCCAGACATAACTCTTCAGAACTCTCATCCGGGGAGCCAGCTCCATGGAAACAGTGACCAACGGCTTAAATTATGACACTTGAAGCAAATGTTGTTCTTTCCCTTTTATTCTTACCCAAACCTGCAATGAATCACATCTCACCTCCTCCATGAATGTCTTCTCCTTCTGACCACACAAAGTCAGCAACTCGAGGGCCCAGAACCCACAGCAGCACCTGTCAAAGCGAAGTCCTCAGTCATAGAACAGCTGAGCATTATGTAGCTATAGCTGGAGATTCCCATGAGGTATGTATGAGTATCTGCTGCTGCTTCTCACCACCGTGGTGGGGACCCAAAAATCCGGTGCTCGTGGCACTGTCGCTGTGACTCTCCTCCCCATCTGAGGGCACAGTTTGTACTTCAGAATGGTGGGGCTCCCCCTCTCCTTCTTAGCCCACTAGGCACTTTGGTGACCAGCAAACCCTGTCAAAACCAGGCTTTCTGTAGTCTTCTCCACTCAGATTGCCCCAAGAGCCCATCTCTCCTTTTAAACTGGCTTCCTAAATCCAGCCATAGATTACAAGCAGGTATTTTACTGCTCGACCCTGGCACTTGGTGTATACCTATTTTGATAGCACTCATCAGGTTGAAGCTTGCGTGATTTAAATGCCCCTGTAAACTATTTAAGAGCAGGGTTCATGTCATTTGTTTCTGTATCCCCATCACCGAGCACAGTGTCTGGCTGTGGCTCTCTGTAAATATTTTGGAATGAATGTATGAATATGTTAAGTAAAGAACAGTGTAGTTTTCCATATTTTCCTTTGTTCATGAACTCCCTTATACACACATCTCTGGTTCATACCCTAGTTTGGTCTATATTCTAGGCACTAACTTTATGCATATAATTTTTTTTCTTTTTTTTTTTTTTTGGGGGGTACGCGGGCCTCTCACTGTTGCGGCCTCTCCCGTTGTGGAGCACAGGCTCCGGACACACAGGCTCAGCGGCCATGGCTCACGGGCCCAGCCGCTCCGTGGCATGTGGGATCTTCCCGGACCGGGGCACGAACCCGTGTCCCCTGCATCGGCAGGCGGACTCTCAACCACTGCGCCACCAGGGGAGTCCTATACACATAATTTTTAAAACATGCTAACCATGCCCATTTATTTTATTATTTCTATTTTACACGTAAGAAAGTTGAGACTCAGAGAGTTTCTTTCCCATGCTCAGGTAGCTAATAAGTAGCTGAAGTTCTTAGCTAAGGGTTTAAATCCCAGTCTTTTTGAGTCTCATTCTATCTTTCCCCTCACTATAAGGCAACGGTTCTCAAAGTGTGGACCACAGGCCCCTGAGTGTCCCTTAGACCCTTTTAGGGCTCCACAGGTCAAACTATTTTCATAAAATACTGACATTTTGGCCTTTTTTTTTTTTTTGACTGTGTTGACAATGCACCTTGACGCAAAGGCACTGGGACAGCAGTCATTGTATTCTTTACTGCCAGGCACTTGCAGTAAAAAACAACCACAAAACAGTCTACCTTTAAAATGTCCTGATGAAGCTATAAAAAGTAATTTTGTCAAATCTAGACCTTTGAGTGCACATCTTTGTAACATTATGTGTGACAACGTGGAAAGTTCACACAGGGCACTTTTGCTACATTCCAAAATACAATCTTTGTCTTGAGGAAAATTATTGGTGTGATTGCTTGAGCTGAACTAGTTGTTTTTTTCCTGGAACACCATATTTACTTAAAGAACAACTGACAGACAAAACTATGGTTATTAGGTATTTGACAGAAATTTTTTGGCAAATGAATGGAATGAGCCTAAAATGTCCAGGAAACCAACTAGCAGTATTTATTGTCAATGATAATAATGGAGCTTTCAAAAGAAAGTTAGAATTGTGGAAATCTTGTATCTGCCACCACGAATTTGACAGTTTCCCAAATACTTATAAACATTTCTGATGAGATTGACGGTGATGTTAACAAAGAGACTTATCTAATAAGGTACAATTAAATGTGTTAATGTTTGGAAGATCTAGATTTTCTAAAAGATGAATGATGTTACAATGCATAAGTAGAGGATCCATTCAAAATGCAAGATGGACCAACGGATTTTAATATAACAGAATACGAAAAGTTCATTGATGTGGTTTAAGAAACTACAGCTTGTCAAGTTTGGGTATAGTATTTGAGAAGGTCAGCCACAATTATCCCAAAAAAGCTATTAAAACACTCCTTCCTTTTTCAACTGACATTTCTGTTTGAGGCCAAATTTTCTTCATATACTTTAATCATAACAATACGTAGCAAGGACTTGAACACAGAAGTGCATCTGAGAATCCAACTGTCTTCTATTAAGCCAGACATTAAGAGATTTGCAGACAGAAAACGATGCCACTCTTCTCACTAATTTATTTTTGTCTTTTAATATGTACTTATTTTTCATTAAAGTATATTATTTATGTTAACATACACTGGGTTTTAAATTGTTTTTTTTGTTTGTTTTTTTTTTTTGCGGCACACGGGCCTCTCAGCCGCTCCGGACCGGGGCACGAACCCGTGTCCCCTGAATCAGCAGGCGGACTCTCAACCACTGCGCCACAGGGAAGTCCTAAATTGTTATTTTAAAATGAATTATATGCATTTCAAATTTTTTCTCAGTTTTAATTTTTTTTTTTTTCCTTTTTGGTCATGCCGCGTCGCTTATGGATTTTAATTCCCTGATCAGGGATTGAACCAGGGCCCTCAGCAATGACAGCACAGATTCCTATCCACTGGACCACTGCAGAATTCCCTCAGTTTTAGTTTTTAATAAGGTCAATATTGATAGGTAGCTCAGAACAGTAAAATTTCTTTGGGGGTCCTTAATCACTTTTCAGAATGAAAATGGGTTTCAAGAGAAGAAGTTAGGGGACAGCTGCAAAGGAATGCACACATGACAAGAAGGACCAGGAGGGCTTCCCTGGTGGCGCAGTGGTTGAGAGTCCGCCTGCTGATGCAGAGGACACGGGTTCGTGTCCCGGTCCGGGAGGATCCCACGTGCCGTGGAGCAGCTGGGCCCGTGAGCCATGGCCGCTGAGCCTGCGCGTCCGGAGCCTGTGCTGCGCAACGGGAGAGGCCACAACAGTGAGAGGCCCACGTACCGCAAAAAAAAAAAAAAAAGGACCAGGAGCCAGACACACCGGCTGAGTGCTTCAGAGATCCCTTCTATTCACAGTCGACGACAATGAAGTGAATCATACACTCAAGCTTTTCTTTCTCAGTAATTTTTGTGGTTAAAGTGACCCAGGCTTAATGTTATTGCAAGTTAAAAACTGGAGCCCAGAAAATGAAAGGAAGAAAGAAGACAAGTCTCTCAAATTTCCTTTGCTTCTGCCCAGCAAGATTTCTCCTACCAGAAGCAGCAAAGGCTTAAGCAGTGCCATCGACACCAGACACTTGAACAACCCAATGTAACAAAGTCAAGTTCATCCCCCTGTGCACCAGTCCGGTCTTGCGCACTGTGTGGGAACTTGTTTACCTCATGCTCTCTTTCTGTTGTTGCACAGCAGGTAGTGTCATTTACATATTCTTTGTAAAGTAGTTGTCATTTTAGTACACGTCTGGGTGGCTTACTTCTGCAGGACACTGTAAAACAAAATGAAACAAAAAGCCAACGCAGGGGAAAACAGGCTGGATGACGCACGTTGTGTTGGGCACATGGAAAGTGCCACCTGCTAGTTGTTAAACCAGATTAGTTGCACTTTAGTGATTGTATCTCAGGGCCTATAACAGTGTCATCTTAGCTGACCCAAATAGCCAATGATCCATGCTCTCAACTTACATGTTTTTGAGGAAAAGCACTTATGTGATTGCTTGAGATGTGAACTGATTTAGCTGCTTTTCTCATTCCATGAAAAAACACCATATTTACTTAAAGAACAACTGACAAACTATGGTTATTGGGTATTCGGCTGAAATTTTCTTGAAAATGAATGGAGTGAGCTTACACTGAATACATTCATATTGACGAGTGGCTTTTAAACTGTGTTAGTGTCGGGCATACACAACCCCACCCTCGGGAAGTACTCTTATGTCATTTTGCACGTAAGTCTGATTTGGCCCAACCAAACCATGAAGCGTTGATGTGTACACAGGAAACCCGTAGCAATAGATCACAACAAAGCCTTACATTTCTTCCCAGTGGGAAATGTTTGTTCTTATTGGACAAAAACACTCAGGACAAAAACATGTGGTTTTGTTGGCCTCTGTGCCCATAAAAAAATGCTATGCGCCTAATGGCATTGGGGTAGGCTTACAGAAATTAGAGCATTTTCTAGATACTGATTTTCCATAGTTCATTCCCATTTCTCCCAACAAATGTTTACCAAGCACCTATTAAGTGCCAAGTATTGGAGTTACAAATTTCAATGAGACTGATTTCAGTTAGTTACTCGGGAGAGGAAGATTTGTAAATAATAACTATACTTTTGGGTAATGAGTACCATACATAAGTGCAACCAAAGCATGAAGAAGGAATGATTCATCCCTTCTTCCAGGTGTTTGCAGGCCTGAGCTACAGGAGGAGTAAACTGGACTGGAGTTTGAGGGCATTAAAACTCTTGAGCAATCTCATGAAGTAGATGAGCGGGTATCAGTGGATGCCCACTCTGGACCTGTTGGAGCTTGGGGTGAATTCTTAACGGCACCAGGACAGCTGAACTAGATTAGGGTTGCAGAACTTTCTGAGCCACCTGTTGATCCTTTTGTAGTGATGGCAGGACGCTGTTTATCTCATCATGCTGCAGCGATTTCCCCCCCTCAGTTTCTTTGTGGGCTGCCTCTTAGCAGAAGAGCTCCCTCTATGAAACCAGTGCAGAGATTTGAAGAAGGATCATTCTGTGTAGGAATAGAATTGTTCCTCACTCCCTCAGCCAGCTGGCTTCTTGACATCTCAAAGGTTACTCCCAGTCCTTTGATCAACGGTGTGACTGCATTGTCATTCATGGTCC